GAGTAAAATTTATCAATAAATAAATATAATTTGATTGTATATACTATCCAATTTATAATAATATTTATGTAGCTTATAATATTATTAATTTAAAATTTATAAATTTGTATTTTTGTAACAAATTTTAAAAATATTATTATGTAACATTACTAATTTATATATTTTATTTTATTTCTAAATTTAAAATATATAAAAAGTAAATTAAATTGGACCTACATAATACATAAACAAAATTTTGGGTTATTGTTAAAAGTATATTACATAATTTTAATTTTTTCTTAAAAAAATGAATTAAATAAATTATATTCAATGATAATTAAATTTTTAATCAAATAATTTTTGAAACTATATCTTGAAAAGATTCTATAAGATTTTTTAAACATTTTGTTAGACTTGTCTTAAATTATTTATTTGTATTTCAAATAAAATTTAAAGATATGAAAAGATATTATAATGATGTTATGTTATATAAAATTTCTAAGAGTGATCCAAACTTAAAAATCACACATGAAGTGAGTCATGACTTCTCTTTTAATATAATAGATATGCACATTCTAATAAAGTAGTAGTATATTGCAGTCATTATTAATCATGGTAATTAGTAACCTAGAAAAGTATAAATGAAAGCTCTTAAATCATTTTATTATATTAGTTAGATTATGGCTTCAGGTAACCACAACAACATCTTGCTCGAGGATTCTTATGATCCGGAACAATTATACAAGTTCCGGTTTGATACCCTTTACTTTTACAATCAATTAAGCACACATCAAATGCGTAACTGCCCACACATAAAAAACTTGTAAAGCAGTATGTATACGTGACCTTATTCTCGTACTCTCCACCTACACAAACGCACACAAAACATATACGATATTTGTTAACTCTTCAATTATTCTCTTTAAACCATCATGTCTAATTCTAACTAACAAAAATTATCTTATTTAAGTAAAAACATTGTGTTCGACGTAACATTTCTTTTGTAAGTTTTTAAATCAAATACACACTCCAACTTTATAATTAAACATACATTAAAACATTAATATTTTTTTGTACTAATAACTATGTTTTCAAATAATATATTCATTTCTTAATATTAATATCAATATTTCCAAACAACACTATAATTAATTTTGTGTCAAAACAATACAAAATATTAGCTTTCATCTTTTTAATAATTTCTAACAACTTTCGTTCAAGTTATTTAGATAAATTAAATAACTTAAAAATTCAAATAATTTATAAAATAACAAAAAATAAATAAAACTTAAATTTGCAGGTTTAAATATTACATATCGGTTATTCATCAGTTTAATCGGCTAGTTTCGGTGTTTAGTTTTGAATATGAATATTTTAAAAATCTAAATTTTTTTATCTTAAACTGAAGATTCGGGTCAAATTTAAAAACACTAATTTAAATGCAAAAATATTTTAAATACACAACATTTTCAAATAAAAAATTATTTGTTAATTATTAGTGCAAATTTTCGTCATAAAATGTTTATGCGTTGACAAACCGCGAGTAATTCCATTTTATTTTAAATAATGTTATTTCATTAAAATTTTTATATTATTTTAAAAACTGTAGATATATTATTAACATCAGAAGTAACTAAACTATTAACTAATTATTTTTACGCAAACAATTAAATTTGAATTTGATTTTACAATTTGGAAAAAACATACATAATTAGTATTTTCACTGTACATATTTACATAATACACTGCTTGACACTATTAATAGAAATGTTAATTTTGATAAACATAAAATAGAATTGGACAAACTCAAAACTATATAAAACTAAATTATATAAAATACATCCGAACAATAAAATTTACGCGGATGCGTTAGTCAATTATCTAGTAACTACAGTAATATTTCAACATACCTGAAACCAAAATGTTGTTGTTAAACATTGAAGCTACTAATATCGCAAGAGAAAAAATCAGCAATTTTTGTGCGTTCGCCATAGTTTTTATTTTGTATAAAATATATGACGCAGAGAAATATCTTTTACTTTTCATGTCTTGTAAAACAGCTTTATTTATATAATTTTTAGTCCTGGAATTCACAAATTTCCATTTCTAATTTGTTTTATTTTAATTATCTTCCATATTGCTACATACTAATTAAGGATATTTATGTATACATTTGGCCAATTAAGTTATTTTGTGATTTGGTCAAAGAAAATATATTGTTCAAATCTTAATATAATCACATGCAGTGACCTGAAAATTATATGAGCTGTCAGGAAATATCTTATTGTGTACATGTGAAATTGCCAGCTAGAAAACTCTACACTCTTTTTAAAAAAAAAAAAAAAAAAAAACCTTGCGCTCCTCTGTAATATACCTGGACTTTATTGTTTGATCAAAGAACCTAAAAGTTAATATGTTGAAGACTAGAGATGGAGTGTTAGTATTAATGTTTATGCATTTCCCTTTTATTCATTTTATAGGAAAGCTCTTACTCGGTCTCAGTGATGTACTCAAGGATAGAACATGGGCTGAACTTAAAACTTGGACTTGAACATTTTCAAAATAAAGAGTCCTTGAACTCTGCATTCCAAATGGTTTCAGGCCTCAACACGGCTCACGGGATTCTTGGTCTATATGATTTGTTCAGTGACGTGACATTCTACTGGGTGGTTCTGAAATTCTTCCTGCCGCGTGGACCGATAGCCCAACAGGCTGAGGAAATCATTGGAGCCTGATGAGAAGTATGTGTATCTAGGGATCCTTGTTCTGTTGCTCTCCTTGCTTCTGTGTTTTTCGTACCCATTTGCTTTCACCGGTGATGACGCCATGATGATTGGCTTGTGAATGACACATCATTAGAGATCTCAAGTCTCAGAAGAGAAATAGCTATAATTTTTAGTTTTTGTCTTCTACTTTCAAACTTGGCGGTAGAGCTGGATTGCGGATCAAACCCGCCCGCTTGATCCACTAATCCGTGGATTGCAAATTTTTTTTTGTTAAAAATATTCGACCTGCATAATCCGCAATCAAATAAAATTTAAGTACTATTTTTTTGCAGTTACTAATTGCGTGCCAGGTATAATACATATGCATAATATTCTTCATTTGTTCGTGGAAAAATAGTTTCCCTTAGAAATTTGTTTAGTCGGATGCCGCCATCGGCGTTAGTAAAGTATCACTAACAAGAGTGGTTATATTTAACAAAAGTGATTAGGAATAAAATATTATAAACAGTGGAATGTAAAATAGTAGAACAAACCATATCATGTGGATGTACTTAATTTTTGGTTGGTAGCATATAAAACGACCTTCCAAATATATACTATTGTTGTTTGTCGAGGAAAGGTCAAAATTTCTACATCCATACTATTGTGCAACTGAGGTTCTGAGGTTTTGAGGTTTTAAACGACAACTTAAAGAAGCACGCGTGTTGTTTAAGGTATTTAAGAAGGGGAATTCCTGTGGTCGAGTTGGTGAAAAACTACAATGCGTTGTTCTTAGAAATATAGGAACCGTTCGGGTTTCGTAGATTTTCGGACCGGTTTCGGTCTTGTTTTTTTTTTCAGTTCCAGTTTGGTTAACGGATTTAGGATAATATACCCAAGACTAGGATAAATGAAAGATCATGTGCCGTCCAGTGATAAGAACCAGGAAGAGTCATCTAATATCGTGGATCATTAGACCATGATTAACCCGAATTCTTAGGGTGGAATTCTTAGCTTCAACTAAGAACCATTTCTTAGAGTTTAACTAAGAAAAATTAATAATCATCTTTTAAATAAAAGATATAAGAACCAGTTCTTAATCGAAAAAAATATAAAAAGATGTCAAATCATAAATTAAGAAGTTCAAATTAAGAACTCGGGTTAATCATGCTCTTACATTCTAAATTCTTGAATGGCATCATAGTTTTAATCGGAGAACCTACAAGTTAATATATCGAAGATTAGAGATGGAGTGTAGTATAATGTTTAGAGACAATTAGCGGAATGCCCATATAATGTTTAAGCATTTCCCTTTTATCCATTTATAGGATAGCTCTTACTTGGTGATGTACTGAAGGATATAACTTCGATATATTTGAACCCGCTTGTGATCGGCGCATGGGCTGAACTTCGAACTTTTAACTTGGACATTTTAAAATAAAAAAGTCGTTGAACTGTGCATTACAAATGGTTTCAGGCCTCAACACGGCTCACGGCCCTAGACAAAACTATCTTTTGTACGTGTGTTCATTATAAGTCTTATACCGTTGTTTGTTCAACATCCTTGGTCTGCAATGTCAGGCGACGTTTTGTTCAGTAATTTGTTCTTAGAGATGAAATTCAGGTTAAGAGTGAAGCTATACTTGTGTCTGGAAAGAAAATCTCTCCTGGTTTTAGCTGTGCTGTGAAGGTGAGAGAAGAGAAAAAGAGGGAAGAGGTTGCTGCTTCGTTGCCAAGTGTAATCAATACAAATCAAACGTTGTGGCACAAGTAAATTAAACATATGTGTTTGTAATTTCCGACTTTAATCCGTTTTGTATAGATGTATGCATCTTACACGGACATACCGAATGCTCGTTTGTGTGTGTGTGTGTTGTAGAAGATTCAAATGAGAAAAGGTTGTATTTTCTTTGATTAATTCAATATATGCATATATTCTAATAAAGTAGTAGTATTTTGCAGTCATTATTAATGATAGTAATTAGTAACTTAGAAAAGTATAAATGAAAGCTCTTAAATCATTTTATTATATTAGTTAGATGATGGCTTCGGATAACCACAACAACATCTTGCTCTAGGATTCTTAGGATCCGGAACAATTATACAAGTTCCGGTTTTATACCCTTTATAGGTACAATTAAGTAAGCACGCATCAAATGCCAAACTGCCCACACATAAAATTTTTTCAAGGCAGTATGTATACGTGATCTTATTCTCGTACTCTCCACCTACACAAACGCACACAAAACATATACGATATTTATTAACTCTTCAATTATTGTCTTTGAACCATCATGTCTAATTCTAACTAACAAAATTTATCTTATTAAAGTAAAAACATTGTGTTCGACCTAACATTTATTTTATAAGTTTTTAAATTAAATACGCATTCCAGTTTTATAATTAAACATACATTAAAATATTTATCATTCTTTTCTTTGTATTACTAACTATGTTTCCAAACAATATATTCATTTCTTAATCGGTTAGTCTCGATGTTTAGTTTTAAATATGAATATTTTAAAAATCTATTTTTTTTTATCGTAAACTGAAGGTTCATGTTAAATTTAAAAACACTAATTTAAATGCAAAAATGTTTTAAATACAAAACTTTTTCAAATAAAAAAATATTTGTTAATTACTAGTTCAAATTTTCGTCATAGAAAATTTCTGCGTTGACAAAACATGAGTTAATTCCATTATATTTTAAATAATGTTATTTCATTAAAAAATGTATATTATTTTTAAAACTTTAGATATATTATTAACATCAGAAGTAACTAAACTATTAACTAATTATTTTACACAAACAGTTAAATTTGAATTTAATTTTACACTTTGAATACATAATTAGTATTTTCACCGTACATATTTACATAATACACTGTTTGACACTATTAATACAAATGATAAATTTGATAAACATAAAATGGAATTAGACAAAATCAAAACTATATAAAACTAAATTATATAGAATACATCTGAACAATAAAATTTACGTGGATGCACGGATCAATGATCTAGTAACTACAGTAAAATTTCAACATACCTGAAACCAAAATGTTGTTGTTAAACATTGAAGCTGCTAATATCACAAGAGAAAAAAACACCAATTTTTGTGTGTTCGCCATAGTTTTTATTCTGTATAAAATATATAATGCAGAGAAATATCTTTTACTTTTCATGTCTTGTAAAACAGCTTTATTTATATAATTTTTAGCCTTGGAAATCACAAATTTCCATTTCTAGTTTATTTTATTTTAATTGATCTTCCATATCGCTACATACTAATTAAGGATATTTATTTATACATTTGGCCGATTAAATTATTATTTGGTCAAAGAAAATATATTGTTTGAAGCTTAATATAGAGGGTGATCGGTTAAAATGTAGCTGTAAAGATTTTACTTTAAAAATACATTTGTAGGATATTTTAATGTAGCTGTAGCAAATGTAGCTGTAAAAATTAAATGAGAAAATAATAAAAATGTAAAAATATTCCTACAGCAATATTTATTTTCCACAGCATAAAAAATAATGCTTTAGAAACCAAGGGTTCTATAACCATTTTTAAAAACGCGGGATCATTTTATTTTTATAAGGTTTTACTTAGTATAAATTATAATTCTGTAAATAATTTTCTTAAAGTTTTGTATAATAGTACTTAATTTCATTTATTTTTTATTTAAATGTTTTTAGAGATAAAATTTTAGATATTTATAAGAATTATTATCATTATGCTATACATATGTTTAATTTAATATGTATTATATATGTTAGAATTTAGATTTTCAATCTTATATTTGTGAAATGCGGTGGTCATTTTTCAGATTTGTAAAAAGTAATTTGATACAAACTGCAAAAGATATATTTACAGTTGAGTTATTAAGCGACCAATATCATAACACAAAATCATCATTTTAAAGAATTTATATGTATTTTAGTTGAATTATTAACCGACCCGTATTATAACACATAATCATAAGTTTAAAGAAATTATAAATATTTTATTAAAATAATTATTATAAGTTTCATATATATTATGTTGATTTTTAATTTTGATTTCAAAACACAAAAATTATTTTTTTGCCAAAACTTAATTTGTTTATTTAATATATTATAGGTTTGTTTTAAATTTTGTTTTTTTTTTAATTAATTCAATGATTAAAAAATATGGGTCATATTACTTTGCTTTGTTTCTATTAATAAATACTGTTGGATTTAGTAGTTAGGCTAAAATGAATAAAATTTCGAGGTCCAGCTTAAAATTAATGTTTTTTGTGTGATAATAGTTTGGTGGAAATTAAGTTAGTTATAGTTGATAGATATTCATACAAATCTCCAAAATCTAATATATTAAGATATTATTTGAAATATTCATCATGGTTTATTTTTATTCTTTTTGCTAAAATTTGTTATTATAATTATTTTACATCGAAAGTATGTAATGATCGTTATTGTGTATTAATAATACTGAAAGTATTTTATTAATCTTTGAGAATTGAAAAATATGTTCTTAGTTGCAACTTTGCAAACTGGAAACCTAATTCTATAACTTTGTAAATTCCTCTTTTAGGACTTACTAAAGCATAATCATCAACGGTGGATGATTTATAATAACATGGACTTTTTGATTATATAGGTTTGTATTTGATGATTTAAATTTATGCAATTTGTATATTTACAAAAATATAATCATGTTTTTAAAAATAATAATTAATAATTTAAATGATAATCAATTAATTATAGCAAATTCACATGAATTATTAGACTGTGGGTCCATGAATATTTTTTCATTTGATTATATATTTAATGAATAGCTAAAAAAATGAAAGACATGCATTTGTAAATAATCAAAAAGTAATGGTTGTTTTAATAGTATAGACAAAGCATGATTGATAATTTTTATAGTTGTAGATAAAAAATAAAACTAAAGTCATTAGTTACATCCCAACCAATCACCCCCATAATCATATGCAGTGACCTGAAAATCATATGAGCTGTCAGGAAATATCTTATTGTGTACATATGAATTATATGATTGATTTCCTGTAATTACTGCAGCTAGAAAATCCTATGCTCCTTTAAAAAAAAAAAAAAAGAAACCATGCGCTCCTCTGTAATATACCTGGACTTTATTGTTTGATCGGAGAACCTAAAAGTTAATATGTTGAAGACTAGAGATGGAGTATTAGTATTAATGTTTAAGCCCTTTTATCCATTTTATAGGAAAGCTCTTACTCGGTCTCAGTGATGTACTCAAGGATAGAACTTCGATATCTATGAACCCACTTGTGATCGGCGCATGGGCTAAACTTAAAACTTGGACTTGGACATTTTCAAAATAAAGAGTCCTTGAACTCTGCATTCCAAATCGTTTCAGGCCTCAACACGGCTCACGGGGTTCTTGGTCTATATGCTTTGTTCAGTGATGTGACATTCTACTGGCTGAGGAAAATCATTGGAGCCTGATGAGAAGTATGTGTATCTAGGGATCCTTGTTCTATTGCTCTTCTTGCTTGTGTGTATGTCCTACCCATTTGCTTTCACCAGTGAAGACCATGATGACTGGCTTGTGAATGGACATATCACTAGACATCTCAAGTCTCAATAAGAAAAAAACGAAGAGAAATAGCAATAACTTTTAGTTTTTGTCTTCTACTTTCAAACTTGGCGGGTTCAGTTATTTGATTTTATGTTTCTTATCCTCTTGGAGGCTTTATGCATGTCAGCAAAATGAGATAACAATATTGTTTGTAAAAGTTATATTCTATTTGTTTGTAGTTACTAGTTGAGTGTGAGATATATACATATGCATAATATTCTTCATTTGTCTGTGGAAAATTGTTTTCCTTATATATTTGTTTAGTCGGATGCCGCCATCGGCGGTAGTTAAGTATTACTAACAAGAGTGGTTATACTTAACAAAAGTGATTAGGAATATAATATTATAAACAGTGGAATGTAAAATAGTAGAACAAACCACATGCTTTTCATGTGGATGTACTTAATTTTTGGTTGGTAGCATATAAAACGACCTTCCAAATATATACTATTGTTGTTAATCGAGGAAAGGTCAAAATTTCTACATCCATACTATTGTGCAACTGACACAAAAACATTAATATCACTATCTGATAGATAGTTTTGATTTTGTGTAATTATATTATGTTATTCTAATTTATTAAAACATAATCATTCTTATTATTAATCCCTACAACTTTTTAGAATATTACTTCTATTGTCATTAAACCTACCTTTAAATAATTAACTGCCAGTATTTTAAATATATGCATCTATAACCACGTTTAATATTTATAACCTCTTCTCCCTTCACTTTCTATAATATAAGGATTCATTATTTTGAATGAAAAAAAAATCACTTCCTATAATATAAGGATCCATTACTTTGAATGAAAAAAATCACGTATATCTAGCAAAAAAAAAAATCCGACTATAATATTTTTAATAAATACATCAATCATATTATTTATGATACTCATTGTAAGCAATTCATCTATATATATGACATTTAAGACACTTATTAAAAAAATTAAATATTTAATTTTAGATATTATTTCAAAATAAATATTGAATTAAATATTTGAAGTATATGTTAATGTTTCAAATATTTATATTTAAGATTAGTTTGGATATTTGGATTGGTTTGCAGATTTTTTGTTTTTTCAGATTATCCATTCGGATCCAGTTAATAACATTTTAGTTTTGGATATGTTTTGTATCATCTTACAAAACCATTTTGATATTTCTTATATCTCGGACCGGGTACAGATAAATTTTATATACTTTGGATTTGATTTAGATTTCAAATTGTAGATTTTATACCTAAATCTATTTTAAATAAAAATAAAATACAATTATATAAAAAATTTATCGAAAAATTATCCCGCGCTTCAAAAATCTAATTAACCTTATTTTGAAAAAAAAATATATATATGTTAGGCTATCTTTGGTCTGGAAATGAGAATTATAACGGTTGCGATTACTCTGTTTTTTTTCTCTTATATACATATATAAAGGGAAGTCGCATATTGTGAATTTGAATTTATGAAACATGAATAAACGATGACATCATAGCTTATCTAGTTATATGACGCTCTAATGACACGACGCCCGCTTAGAAGATCCATCTGGATGAAGAACAAATGTCACGTGTTGCCAATACGTTTGCTTCCATTAACAACCATTTTCACAAATATGTTGATATGTAAATACATATCTAACTTCAGATAAGTATGAACTTTTGAGAGTCAAGTTTCTTATATTAGTAAATCTCTATGATTTAAAAGCATGTTTATATAGAATTACAGGTGAGGTGTCTTTCATTCTAATTTTCTCCAAAAAAGAAAGACCATAATGGGTTAAGCTTCCCAGCCAGAGCCACCTCCTCTACAGAATCTTTGCATAGTGCAAGTGCATGCACGTGGACCAGCTGAAAAGAAAATTACAGGTGAGGGGTATTACCGTAAAATCATCAATAATCACATGATCAAGCCACGCGTAATCGTTTATAAATAAGCCATCTTCTTGTTATTTCATTCGCCATTCAAATAGAATATTAACATTTAATTAAACTCTCTTCAATCCTTTCAACATTCCGGCCGCCGTCGCACGTGACCGCCGTTCTTTTCCCCAGCCGTTACGATGTCTTCCTCCATGAATGTGGCGTCGATGCAAACATTGAGTTTCTCTCGCCGTCTCGCTCCCTCTGCTGCTTCCCGCGCACTCTCGTCTTCTTCTGTGACAGTTACTGGCTATTCCCGGAGAAGCTCGGCGTACGCGCCTTCTCTCCGTCCGATTCAATGCGTCTCTGCACCACCTGAAGCTTCAATAGGTAAGGCAATGCTCTAAACGGTTACATTCTTCAGTACATTTCAATAGGTTTGATAGTGAATCGGAATCAGAATCGGAATTTTGTTTCTTAACTTATGGTGTGTGGGAATATTCTAACGGTTATATATTCTTCAGTACATTTCGATTGGTTTTGATTGTGAATTGGAATCAGAATCGGAATCAGAATCTTTGTTTGTTAACTTTTGGAGATTGTAAAATTTAGAAATAGTGTGAGGCAATGCTCTAACGGTTATATATTTCTTCAGTACATTTCAAT